TGAGGATACCTTTCTTGCATTATGTGACATCGGGCCTAGTCTTCCTGTAGAGTTGCTAACCAGTAGAAATGGATTGGGGCATGGAAAGGTGTTAAATTTTCCCCAAGCTCTACCACATGGGCCACCAGGTTGTTCCCTGGCTCCACCTTCTCACCTGAGGGCGCCAAAATCCTTAAAATCAAGATCTAGTAGCTGCGGGGAAAAAGCACTGAACTGCTTTTGCATCTCCAGCTTAGTAAGACTCCAAAGCGTTTGATTCTTACTGTTGTTATGCCGAAGCAGAATGTGCCATTGTGACACACTGATGAGGAAATACTTAAAGCTATCTTTGAATAGGAATTCATCTGTAATTAAGGCATAGATAAGATGGCACTGAAATATGACCTTCAACTAATGTGTTTTTCATGAAGAGGGTATGGGGTGATCGCAACTTCTGTATGCTGTATTATTTCAATCTTCCAACTAGCTAATGTAATCTGCACAGTGAAATTTAATATGGCAAGGTTAGGCAACATGGTGTTCTCCAGATGTTGGTTTAGGGCAGTGTTTCCCAAACACTTCAGCTGTTGTTGGACTACAACTCCCATCATCTCTAGCTAGCAGGACCAGTGGTCAGGGATAATCGGAGTTGTAGTCCAAAAAACAGCTGGAGACCCAAGTTTGGGAAGCCCTGGTCTGTATCTCCCATAAGCTCCCAACTGTCATGCTGAACGGACAGGGTTGATGGGACTTGTAGTCCAGCAAAATCTGGAAGGAACCATGTTGGCTTCCCTGTAATATGAGGGTGAAGGTCTAGTTCATTCAAAGAGCAGATGAGGTACAAACCCTGTTTCTAAACTAGCCTTTCTCAACCTTGGGTCTCCAGGAGTTGTTGAACTGCAAGTCTCATAATCCCTAGCAGGACCAGTGGTCAGGGCTGATGCGAGTTGTAGTTGAAGAACATTTGGAACCCAAGAATCTGCACCACTCATTTTATTTAAGCTTCCCATCAGGAAAAAAATGTCGACCTTGGCTTATAACAGAAGTAATAAAAAGAAATGGCAACAAGTCAAATAGCGAAAAACACCAGTTGAAAATAGCCTATAAAATTCAGAGGTATGGATAGCACGAAAAAAATGCAACTAGCTGTATGATGATAAGCCAGTGTAAATGGAAAGCTTTTTCCTGGTTCCAAATGATGTCATAGGTGGTTCCAGGTCAGCTGGTCTCCCCCTGCTTCGTGAGAAAGTGCCTAGAATAATGAGAATGGTTGCAACTCAGTGGTAGAGCATCTGTTTTGCATGCAGAAGTTCCCAAGTTCAATCCTAGATATCTCCAGGCAGGCCTGGGAATGTCACCTACCTTGAAACCATTGTGGCTAATAGCCATTGACAGTCTTATAATCCAAGCTGGGATGCGGGTGGCACTGTGCTCTAAACCACTGAGCCTCTTGCCGATCGGAAGGTCGGCGGTTCGAATCCCCGTGACGGGGTGAGCTCCCGTTGCTCTGTCCCAGCTCCTGCCAACCTAACAGTTCGAAAGCACCTCAAAGTGCAAGTAGATAAATAGGTACCGCTCCGGCGGGAAGGTAAACGGCATTTCTGTGCGCTCTGGCACTTGTCACAGTCCTCCTTGCACCACAAGCGGTTTAGTCATGCTGGCCACATGACCCGGAAAGCTGTCTGTGGACAAACGCCGGCTCCCTCAGCCTGAAAGCGAGATGAGCGCCACAACCCCAGAGTCACCTTTGACTAGACTTAAGTGTCCAGGGGTCAGGTAATACATAGAAAGCTATGGTTACCAGATGAGGTAAAGACCTTTACCTCATCCACAAACTTGTACATAATCCTTTTTTAAAGCCATCCAAGTTGGTGGCCGTTGCTGCTTCCTATGCTGCCTGAAGAACATTTGTGGCAGGATGAACACCTTGACGACCTGGAAACATATTGGGTCCTTCCCTCTTCCCCTCTTGTTTTAATAGATCTGGAAGTAATGAAGCCTTTAATAGCAGAGCAGAATTCGGACAGCGAAGACGAGAATGAAAATGAATTGCTACCGCCAGAGAAGAAGTATCAGCTCGATAACCAGGACAGCATTTCGTAAGTACCGTATTTCTACTTAAGAAAACACATGTTGTTGTTGTTTAGTCATTTAGTCGTGTCCGACTCTTCGTCACCCTATGGACCAGAGCACGCCAGGCACTCCTGTCTTCCACTGCCTCCCGTAGTTTGGTCAAACTCATGCTGGTAGCTTCGAGAACACTGTCCAACCATCTCGTCCTCTGTCGTCCCCTTCTCCTTGTGCCCTCCATCTTTCCCAACATCAGGGTCTTTTCCAGGGAGTCTTCTCTTCTCATGAGGTGGGTATTGGAGCCTCAGCTTCAGGGTCTGTCCTTCCAGTGAGCACTCAGGGCTGATTTCCTTCAGAATGGATGCGTTTGATCTTCTTGCAGTCCATGGGAGTCTCAAGAGTCTCCTCCAGCACCATAATTCAAAAGCATCAATTCTTTGGCGATCAGCCTTCTTTATGGTCCAGCTCTCACTTCCATACATCACTACCGGGGAAACCATAGCTTTCTATGTATTTCTACTTAAGAAAACACATATACCTATATAAAATACTATATATTTATTGCATTTATATCCCACCTTCTTCTCAAAGGAGCTCAGGGTGGGGTACGTAGTTCTCTCCCTCCTCATTTAATCCTCACAACAACCCTGTGGGGTAGGTTGGGATGAGGGTGTGTGACTGGCCCAAGGTCACCCAGTGAGGTTTATGGTTGGGTTGGGGGAGATTTGAACCCTGGTCTCCCAGCACCTCGTCTGCCATTATACCACACTGGCTTTCAATTGCATTACTCTTAAATTTAATTGTTGAAATCATTAAATTAAATTCCTTAGTGCCCTCCCATCTTCCCTATAGCCGCAGGGAAGACCTATCCTCTGGGGCACATGTGTTCCAGTTGTTTTACATTGTCCTAGTTTACAGATGTTGGTGTCTGTCTCTCTCATTTTTAGGTTTGTACAGACACTCACTCATCTCCTCAAAGGAAACGTTGGAACTGGACTTCTAGGCCTCCCGCTTGCAATAAAAAATGCAGGCCTTCTGGTAAGTGGCTCATCAGTTCCAGTGAGGGGGGAAAGTCCTGTTTAGATTTTCCTGCTGGCAGCTGTGCGTTAGCAGTCTCCAAATGGGTCCTGCAAAAATCTAATGTTAGTCCTACTTGGAACACACCCATTGAAATTAACATGCACGGTTCCCTTGGGTCTACTCGGATTAGGAGTCATGCAGCCCAAAGCACTGCAATCTGTACTCACTCTGATCAGGGTTTGAGGCACTTTTCCAGCGTATTCTGTTCCCTTCCCAGTAGCCAGGGAGCATTCCACGGCTACAGAGTATACTCAGTCTTTATTGAGCTGCGTTTGGTGGCCGTTGTCTTTTTTTTTTTTTTTGTCCCCTTGGGTTTCCCCCTGAAATATTACTACTACTACTTCTTCTGCAAACCTTTGGGTCACTCCCAAGCCTGCTGGCCATGTGTGGATGGTGCTGTTTTGGCAACATCCGGATCAGCACCAGGAGGAATTGAGTTTGCTGTTAGCGTACAGGGTTATGGACTTGCAAGCAAAGGTGCCCTCCTGTTAAACAATTTCGGACAGTGGTGGGGAATCGTTCTTAAGTCCGAGGGCCACATTCCCTTCTGTGCAAGCTTTCAGGGGCCGCATGATGGTGGTCGGCCTGAGTAAAAATGGGTGGAGCAATGAATGCAAGTTTTACCTTAGTACAGCAGTCTAGTCTCTCTCTCTCTCTCTCTCTCTCACACACACACACACACACACACACGCACACCCTCTATCCTCCATTCAGAAAAGCAAGAAGCATTATTAGACACATTTCAGCCAGGTGAAAAGCACAAAACAGGGGCAGTGAGGGGTGGGACCTGGGGGTGATGGCCTGAGGAGAGGGTGTGGCTTGGGGAGAGGGTGTGGCCAGAAGGGGTGTGTGGCCTGGGGAGAGGGCGTGGCTGGAAGGGGTGTGGCCAGAAAGGGTGTGTGGCCTGGGGAGAGGGTGTGGCTGGAAGGGGTGTGGCCAGAAAGGGTGTGTGGCCTGGGGAGAGGGTGTGGCTGGAAGGGGTGTGGCTTGGGGAGAGGGTGTGGCCTGGGCAGAGGGTGTGGCTGGAAGGGGTGTGGCCTGGGAAACGGTTCTTCTTACTGTACCTGTGTTTCTCTCTTCCACACAGCTTGGGCCATTCAGCCTTTTGTTCATTGGGATTGTATCCATCCACTGCATGCACATTTTGGTGCGATGCAGCCATTACCTATCCCAAAGGTAAGCGCTTGTCGACGGCTCAAGGGAAGCCAAAACCTGCCTCCCCTCCACTTTGCAAGATAACCTTCCTTAGTTTACTTCTCGGTTTCTTGGAAGCTTATATTTAACTTCAGAGTGTGCCGCAGTGGCCATACGGCTGGGGCTGGCTTTATCTGCATTTCTTGGCGTTATCCGCTCTCGATGGCCCTACTTCAATTAGCCTGCTTAATTTGAAATGCATGTTAGCCAATTTGGACTTTGTTTGCTGGCTGAGTGCTTTCCCCCCTTTTTTTTAAGTGAGGCAAAACTCATTTCTGCAAAGTTGCATCTTGTTCAATAACCGTAGTTGGGAAATAATCAGTATTTTCTTTTCTCGTTTGTGCCAGATTGAAAAGAACTACCTTAGGGTATAGCGACACAGTAAGCTATGCGATGGAAGTGGGTCCCTTTAACGTATTGCAGAAACGAGCTTCTTGGGGAAGGTAAGCTTCTACAAGAATTTGAAACTGATCTCCCTCCTCTATCACCCTCCACTCTCCTTGCCTCTTCCTTTTCAGTTCGTAAGTCTGATTGTAGAGCCCCTCAATACCAACATGAGTTGCTTTGGGAGACAGTCCTTTCCTGAAAAGTAGGATAGAATTATAGAATTGTGGAGTTGAAAGGGACCCCTGAGGGTCATCTAGTCCAACCCCCTGCAATGCAGGAAGGAATCTTTTTGTCTGACTCGGAACTCGAACCCATGACCCTGGGATTAAAGAGTCTCATGTTCTACCAACTGAGCTATCCCATAGGATAAGAACGCAGTAGATAAAGAACAGTACACAGAATCTGTATCGTTGCTATTCATTTATTGCTATTATTCGGTTTCTTGCCCACCTTTTACCATAAGGAGGGGTGAACAGTGCAAAAATATAATGTTCCGATCAGATAAAAACCTTTTACAGTCAGAAGGCTAGGGTGGGCCATGAAAAAATACTGTATCTCAGGCGTTGAAAGCCAGGGTAAAGACATGTTTCGTAGTTTGCTAAAGTTATGTAATGATCGTGCCCTTACGTGTTGGAAGGGAATTTTTCAGCTCATATAGGTGTTGTTGTGTTTCTGTTTCATAAAAAATAAGTATGGGGGGGAGGGGTAAGTTTACTGCAGGCAAAATCCCCAGGCTCTTTTGTCCCCGAAAAAGGCATCCATCAAGATCTCCACGGATCACGATAACCTAGTCACTTTACCTTTAATCAAATGCAGACACATTTTAGTTAATAGAGTTGGCATTCACAGCCTACTGATGCAAACGCTGGCAAAAGTGATATTGCCATTGCAGGCATTGTGGCGCTGTGACCTAGAATCATAGAACTGTACAGTTGGAAGGGACCACATGGGTTGTCTAGTCCAGCCCCCTGGAATGCAGGAATCTTTTTGCCCAAGGTGGGGCTCGAACTCACAACCCCTGAGATTAAGAGTCTCATGCTCTACCGACTGAGCTATCCAGCATCTAGCATGTCCCAATTACTGAATGGTATGGCTCTGGGAATGGAAAGCAGGGGCAAGCAGAGAGTGGACGTATTCTGAATCTTCTGACTGCTCCGTACTGAGGTGGGGTCCTTGACGGGTTGCAAATGTATTATTGACAAAACCTATTGGTGTTTTGCAACTTTCTGACTAGTTGCAGGACCTTAGCCAGACCTAGCAGAGTATACGCAGCGTTCACGAAAGCAATTGGCAACTTGGCTTCAGACAGGATGGCTGAAGCAGGAACCAGGAACTTGTAGTTAGGTGTTTATTATATACAGTGGACTAGTTACAGGAACAGAACAGAACACAGATCTTTGACTAGCTCTCTCATACACGACTCACAACTCTACACTGACACTCAAACTCGTACACATTCCAGTTAGTAGGCCATTAATCATTATTCCCGTGAGAGAGCTTGACCAATCGTAGAGCTGTCTCCATGCCTCTGTATCACCAGGCAGACTTACTCCTTCACATTGCCTTGGCTGCTTGCCAAAAACCTAATTGACTCTGTGTGAGTAGCTGCATGTATTCAGATTCCCAACATGTATTGCCAACAAAATGCGCTATACCCTTATCTGTAAAAAAGAAAAAGAATCTCAGAGCTTATATGTGGATGGCTTTGGGTTCTACGCACCTTGCAGTTCAGGGATGCAAAGGTTGGGGCAGTCTAACTGTTGGACTCCCAGCTCCCATCAGGCCTGGTTAGAATGGCCGCTGGTCAGGGGTCACCTTAAAAGAAAATGTAATGAAAATGATGTACAGATGGTTCCTAACACTGGTTAAGCTGGCTAAAATGTTTAGGATGAGTAATAAATTATGCTGGAAATGGAAAAAAAGGAAGGAGATTTTTATCATATGTCGTGGACATGCGAGAAAACAAAATCATTCTGGGAATTGATTTATAATGAATTGAAAAAGATGTTTAGATACACCTTTCCCCAAAAGCCAGAAGCCTTTTTGCTGGGCTTGATGGGAGAGGAAATCACAAAGGCAAATCAAAGACTATTTATGTATGCAACAACTGTGGTGAGAACTTGATTGGCCCCAAAGTGGAAATTACAGGAGTTACCAAAGTGGGAGGAGTGGCAGACGAAGATAATGGATTATGCGGTACTGGCAAAACTGACCTGCAAGATCCGAAACCAGGAAGAATCTAAATTCCAAAGAGATTGGAATAAATTTATTGACCGTATAAGTAATAACTGTAGAAGTCTGAAGACCCTAGCAGGATTGAAATAAATCTTACGGCGTGGATTTGATGAAAGGAGAGGAAACTGTGAGGTGTAGATTGAAAAAGAAAGCCTGCTTCCGGGAGGGAGAGAAGTCATTGCTTGGCAGAGCGGTGGAAAAGGAGTTGCGTAGAGGAATGTTGAAATTTACTGTGTGTTGTTTAAAGTGAAAATTTGAAAAAAGTAAATAAAAATAGACCCGACAACATCTGGAATATGCCAGGTTCTCCATTCCTACTGCAGTGCGTATCGAAAAGGATATGATTTGGGGAGCCAAGCCCCTCCTTGGCTTTCTTCGCCATCCTAGTGCACATGCACTAGTCAGGCTTCAGGGAATCAGCCTCCTCCCTCGTGGCAGTAAATAAGAAGATCAAACGAAAGGAATGTCTTACCAGTTAGATTCTTTAATAAGCACAGTGAGAGACAAAAGATTGCATCTCACTAGAAATGGTGGTGCTCCAAATTAAGGTTTCCTCCCTCTGTCCCTATTAATCTACATCACTCCTACGTCTCGTAATCTGAGTTTGTGCCCTCTGTGTTTTCTATTCTAAGACTTTCTGAGCTCTTCTTGATCTTGAGGAGGGCAGTGGAGGAATGCTGTCCAGCGGCTGTGAACCTGTTAACCCTCTCTTTCCCAGTGTTTCTTCTCCTAGCTGTTCCCCATCCAGTATTTCCCAGCTTCTGCCTTCTGCAAACCACTCTTCCAAATCCATGCTGTCCTCTGGTTCCTGGGAAGATTCAGGACCAGGGGGAGGGGGGTGGCGCCCACCATTCCTCCTCAGTGCAGCACTCCTCAGCATGGTCCCTTACAACTAGGGAGGGCTGCTTTATATCAACATGGGCTGAAGCGAGCCTGTTGTGATGGCTCAGGACAAGTTACAGAATCCAAGAGTCATATTGCTAGTACCTTTCGCCCTAAAAAGTTTCAAAGTAAATTGTATTAGCATCTATCATGTGGGTTTGCTTAAGTGGTTCTGGACAACTACTCATTCATTAGCTCGATGAACTGATCAGATTTTATATACTTCTGGCATGGACCCAGAATGAATTCATAATATATCCCAGGGGTGGCCAATTCCCAAGGGACTGTGATCTACTTTCAGAATTAAAATCTGACAGTGATCTACCCCCCTTTTTAGGGGTTCAGGTAAAAGTTGTTGACCTTTTTTAGAGGTGGGAAATAGGAAATACGCCATTTTTTTTTTTAATGATCTTTATTGAAAATTTTTTAGAATTACAGAAAAAAAACAAAGCAGAAAAGGAAAAAAGAAAGAAAAAACAAACCACATCAAACAATACAAATTCAAAAAGCAAAAATACACCACAAACAGACAAAAATAAATCCATCATTCCCAAATCCTCAACTCTCATTACCTTCTTTCTTTGACCTCCTCCTCCTCCCTTTTTTTGTATCCTAGTTAATAATTATCGCAGCAAATCCTTTCCATATTTCATAATATTCTGTCATTGCATTACCTTAATCTATTTTCATCTTATCTTATAGAAAACCTTAAAACTTAAAATTTAAATCTTATTTTTACCGACTTCTCACAACCATAATATTCTTACCTAATTCTTTAAACCTTTTTGCTAGAGCCAAGTAATTTCGTTCCAACATTTTTCTAACATTCATCAATTTTATAGAACAATCCTAGTAATAAAAAAAAGAAATAGAAACAATCCAATCTTCATCCAGCATCCCTTCCTCCTGGTCCCGGGTTTTGTCAATCCTTTTTATCCCATTGATCTAGTGCATTAACCTGGTAACCTTATATCCGAAGCCCTTAAGTCTCTTCCATGTCCCTTCCTCAGCTCTTCTTCATATTCTCCTTTCACTCGTGCGAACTCCAGCTTGGTGATGTTTTTGACCCTTTTCAACAAATCAGCCCCTTTTCCATAGTCCAGACTAAACTCCATGTGGTGTTTAAAAACATGTTTCAGAATCCCTCCAAAATTAAGAGCCCCCACAGCACCAAACATCTCACGGCCCATTGCCAGACTCGGAAAGTCCAAACATCCCTGCATAGGGGGGTCTATCCAACCCCCCATTTCCAAACCAATCCAAACTTTATCTTTCCAAATCTGGCTTTTTCCAAGTTCATTTGTCAAATCCAGCAGCTCATGTTCCTGCAAGGCCGCAGCTCCCTCCATCTCTGGCGCCCAAGATTCAGCAACATCCTCTTCTCTCATCTGCTCTGTCAGGACACACTCCTGATCTAATTCCTGGGTGGGCTCCGCATAGTTTCCCACTGCCTGTTCAAAAATTCTGACCGCATTAGTCATCAAATCCGTCTTCCCATTTAACTGTTCCAGTAGGGCACTTGTTTTACAGAGAGCACACAACAGAGCCTCTGAATACATTGTCCTACAAGGTCACAAGTCCATTCCCACTATTGTAATCTGTGACAGCTGCAAGCTCCCTGGAATTAGTTACAGTTTCACAATCTCCCTCTAGGGGGAAGACTTCTATTTGTTCTTGCAACAAAGTATCCTTTTTGAGATATTTTGTCAATATTTGTTCCTTTAAAATGCGAAAGGAAACAATGGAATCACTATGTTTCTCTTCTTTCAGCTATCTGTCAAAAACGTTTGTCTCTGGTCAATGAGCTTCAAACGTCAGTCCTGACACCCCGCTCCAGGATCAGGATGGTGGAAAGTTACTTTACTTTAAACTCACTTCTGCAGGTTTAAACAGTCCAAAAAAGATTCCCCTTCTTCTCCTGCTGCCGAAGGGGGGTTCAACAGTTTTAAATGATGAAAGCCAATGCTTTAGAAGCGATTTTCTGAGCTCCAGTTTACGTTGTCTTTGCTTTATTCTGTCTACAAAGAAACAGAAGGCTGACTTCCTGTTTAGACCTTCCCGTTTCAGTACCAAATTGAAGTAAATTTTTAAATCCAATTCCTTTCTGCTTGCAAGTCCTTATTTAAGGTCCAGTTGTTCAAAGTTTAAGTACTCATGGGTGCTTATTTTAGAGTCCAAATTGTCCCAGGAAAAAGGCAGCGCTCTCCGGCAACGGCTACGCGGCTTCGCTCCACGGAAATAGCAGTTGACTCACAGCACCGCGCCACTTCCCCCTCTTCACTTCGGAGCCCGTTAATGGCTTCCTTTGCGGGTTGGGGGGGCGCTAAGGGTGCCCGCCGAGTCCCAGGAAATACGCCATTTTATGCCCATTTTGGGGTTACTTTTTGGGGGGGGGGTTAAGGGGGAAGGGGATTAGTCGCTCACCAAAACAGCACTGTGAAAGCATTTTGCCTCACAGCAAAAGCTCCGTCTTCCATTATAGATATCAGGAGAAAATGCAGGCAGGGGAGAGGGAGTGAGGCCGGGTGCTCTTAGGCAAAACAAAGGAAAATGAGCCCGTGATCGACAGCGATTGACTGCAACCTCCCGGGGATTGACCTGTTGGACATCCCTGATATAACCATTCCCTCACCTTCTCCAAGGAATTTGGAACAGTGTACGTGTGTTTCTGGCCCAAGCTGAACGTCCTACCACACTCATGCTTGAAATTTCACATGCTTAAAATGGATAAAGATGCCCCCAATTCTGAATCAGAGATTGGAAACATCACCCAAGTGTTGCTCCCACCTTGCTTGTATTCTTCCCACTCTCCCTTTTGAAGACTCCCAGTGATCTCTAATCCAGCCACCGAGATAGCTTTGTCTGTGCACAACACCAACCCGTCAACAGACTCCCTTGTGCGGGTGTGAAATCTGCCTGGAGACTTCATGGAACGCTTTGATCCT